AAAAAAAATTATTATATCTACCCGATGATAACTCCTTCATAATTCTTTCATAGTTTCAATTATTGACATCAATATGCACTATAAAATTTCTTTACTTGTTTTTGATAATTCCAGCGGATTAGCCACCATAGAAAATCAACAAAAACAAGAAGGATAATCTCAACAGAAAACTCAAATTCTTGTTTTAATCTTCCTAACAGAAAAGATAACCATCAATAGTTTCAATTCAAGAAAATCAAGAAAATAAAATATAATCCCAACAAAAAACTCAAATAATTCGAAATGAAATTTCTTACTGATACTACTTGCATTTTTTTGCATTCAAAAAAGACATATTATAAAATAATCCAAATACAAATTAAGAGTCTTCACATACTAAACTCATTAAACTCACAATAAAAGGCAATCCTTACTTTTCCAAACTCCTCTTCATATGGTGTCTCTTTCATTATTGTTTTGACTTTAGTTGAAAATGATATTTCATGAATATTAGGGTTTTATAAAAGGTCAAAAAAATTTTTAATGAAAATAAGCTATTGTTTGACAACCATTATTTGAAAATTCTTTTTTTTTTTTCTACATACCTATTTTCAATCACACATTCTTCTAAAAAAATATTATTTAAATTGTTTTTTTACCAAATAAAATAATGGTCGTCGAACATGGGTTAAATATTAGTTGATGAATTCAGAATGATATATTTTTATTTAATTTTATACATATCTATTTAAGTAAATTTATATAAGATTAAAAATATAATATACTGAACAATTTGTAATTGTTGACATGAAAAATCTATAGATTTTGCTATCAACACATCCAGTGTCATGTCCTCGTCTTTTTGTTATCGACCATTGGTATTCTCGTGGTGAAGTCGGGAATAATAATACTAGAGCTATTTTCGAGGGATTGGATGTGGGGGAAACAGACAAAGAAAGATTTGTCTAGGGTGTTTGGAATTACATAGCTTTTCTTTTACCAATGCATGGCTTGAGTGAGAGTCCACGCAGAATTAGGTTATGATTTGCAGCTCTAATTCACACGTATTGCCCCCTCATTGGCTAAGGAATTACTTCCTTTTATCAAGTCGTTTCCTTCTTAAAATGAATTACCTTGCAAAGATTGATTCCTTTAAATCTTTCTTGATCACCATGAGGATATCTAGAAGTTGATAATGTAGTTTTCTTGTATAACACATTTGCTTAGGGCACACGCCTATTGTCCCTATCCTTGTAACTCACAAGTTGATTACGAAGAGCATAATGCTCGCCTGATGATCCTCATCCCCAAACCTATTAGGGTCCACCCAAGGGCTGACCTAGGAAATTTTTCCAGTGCAGGCGGTATTAGTAAAAGTTAAAAAAAAATATTATAACACAAACATCATACTAAAATAAAATACCTTACAATTATTCTTTACGAATTTTCATATTTTGATATCTTTGTACAATCGCTTCATTATCAATCTTTAAGAATATATCTTTCTCCACATAAACAATAAGGTTATCATTTATCCACTCATCTCCAATTCGATTGCGAAATCTATCATTCACAATGTTCGTGGTAGAAAATACTCTCTCTACTGTAGCAGTAATAACCGGAAGAATTAGTGCCAAAGTCAAAAACTTGTAAACCATTGGATATGTTGTGCTCCTATTTGTCAAAACTAACTTCTGTGCGAGAGCACTGTGACCATTTAATTCGAGGACATAAAAAATTTAATTATCAAGTTAATCATCAAGCGTGAAGAGATCTACTTCTGAAAAATCTTCTGAATAAAACCTAGCAAGTTGAATCAACTTTGTTTTTATCAAAGGTAGAAATCGAATTTTGTGGACACAGACAATCTACACAAAAGAGTAACCCAATATTTACCTC